TTCCCTGATCATCCAATGTAACTGCCAAGGACAATGTAACTGTTTAGTGTTCTCGGACCCTGACCCAGCTTTACCTTTCCACAGCATGTCCCACTTCAATGTAACACACTACAATCATGTATGACATAATATTTTGGCCAGTGATTGACCCTGTATACCACAGAGGCTCCCTAAGGTTGTATGTCCTAGTGTTACTTGTAGCTGTCCTCATTTGTGTAAGGACGTCCTATAGTATCTGCACACTGATGAAGGTGCCCAGCAACGTGTCTCTCAGAGCAGATCACGTGACTCTGCATCACTTATTCATTCCGGCCCTTGTCTGTCTTGAGACTAAAATGGAAGCCTTGTCTCACTCCTTGCTCTGAATTCTCAACACAGAGAACAGCCATAGTAGGTACTCAGTAAATATTTACCAAGCCAGTGGGTGAATATTCCTGCTACGCTCAAGTGTGTGACCTTGGCAAGTCCATCGTCTGGACCTCAGTCGCCTCCTCTCTGAAATGTGGGGGGAGGAGGACACACAGAGCCCCAAAACTGCTGCCTCACTACTCAGCAAGCAGTGTGGAATATACCTCTTCACCTGCCCCCACCCCCAACAGAGAAAAACACAAGGAGAAAAAATACCAGCCCATCTCCAGCCGCAGGCCTGCAGGCTTCGGCCTGAGGCTGCCAGCCCGGGGCTGTCTGGACTTGGTTTGGGCCTCAGTAGGACTGACCTGTACCCATCTGGGGTCCCTTAGCTAACCTGGCCCTGGTAGCCACCCGTGAACCTTGGCCTTGGCAGTCTCCAGCCTCCTCCCTCCAGCGTGCATGAAAGCAGCCGTTTATTGCAGTAGCTCCAGGCACACAAGGGGTGCACTTGGCAGGGCCCCCTGTGCACAGCCACGCTGCACCGGGAAGCACTGGGGCTCTGAAGCCAGTGAGCAGCCCTAGCACCCACCGCACTCCCCTCCCCTGGCCAGGACAGGCCCCGGGGGAACGGGAAGCCTGCCAGCCTCCTCTGCTGGTCATTCCTTGACATTTATGTCACCTGTGCTGTGTGCCCAGCACCATACATGACCCACATTATCCGGCCAGGGGTGCTGTCGGGACAGCCCCAGTGGATGGGGGCCAGGCCCACTGATGTGTGAAGCTTGGCGCTGCTGCTCCCTCCGTCCACTTGATGGACACACATGGAGTGGCTATGGCTGTGTGGCCCCCACTGGGCTGGGCGGAGGTGAGCAAGCCCTCTCGCGCACCTTCTAGTCAGCTGGAACAGGATGCTTTGCTGTGTGCCCTTGACAAACTCTTCGCCATTTCTGAGCCTGGACTTTCTCTCGGAGATGGGCAGATCTTGACCTTTCAGTGCTGCCAGAGAGCCTCCCTAATAACGCTTACTGAGGACCATCACCAGGTAGGATCTGATGTGATCACAGCCTTCTGGAACATGGACCCCTCCGCCACAGGACTGCCCCCAGGAGCTCCAGGAATCCCAGGAGAGCCCTTGGGGCCAATGAAGGCCTATGCTGTCCTTTGGGACAAGCCCCACCACCATCCCATCCATCTAGACCCTAGTACATATCCTCAGAATCCACAAAGGAAGGGTATTCACCAAAGGGTGACTTGGGCCAAGTCATGTAACCTGTCCTGGCCCTGAGGTTCTCCACACAGGGCTGTCTGTGTGAAGAAAAGGAGCCCTGGGCTGGGTCAGGCACCCAGATAGAGGGGATGGTTCATCTTCACTCTCTCATTCACTCATTCACCAAATACTCCTGCAACACGTACCAGGCACCACTCCAGCTACGGAGGATGCTCCAAGGAAAAAACAGACCAAAATAACCTACAAAAGACAGAAAGGTAAATCACATGGCACCTTGGAAGGCGAAGAGCTTGCCGAGGGCACGCAGCAAGACATCCTATTCCAACTGACTAGAAGGTTCCAGGGAGGGTTTGCTCACCTCAAAGCATGGGACCCGACTGGGCTTCCTGAAGCCACTGGGAGGACTTTGATCTCTCATAAGCAGGTAGAGAAGCCCGGCCCTGCCCTCTGGGAGAAGGGGCACAAGGAGGTGGCTAAGTTAGGACGTGCCAGAGCTCAAGGGTCCATCTGTGGTTGGACTGGTGGTCCTCAGCAGAGATTTGGGCTTTTCTGTTGCCGGGGTTAGTAATGCTCATAGGGGCCCTTCTACTGACCGGTCACCCAGCAACCTCAGTTCTACATGACCCTCCGTGCTAGACACTGAGCAGTTCCTCATCTTACAGACAATGACTGGAGTCCAGCAAGGCGCTGGGGCTGCTTGGGCCTCAGGGATTCATTTCCGATGGAAAGGTCAGCTCTTTAGGCAGTAATCCTAAGGAACCTGGAGGACTATAGATGTGCCATGCTTTTGGTCTCCAAGCCTGACTAAAAAAATGTGAATTCTAGGCAGAGAGAACAGCCTGTGCAAATGCCTGAGCATTCAAATTGATTAGGTCTGGAACGATTTATTTATTTACTTATTTTTTTTCTTTTTGGTTGTTTTTCTTCCGTACCAGGAACCGAACTCACGACCTTGCGCTTGCCAGGCAGGCGCTTTCCCTCTGAGCTAAATCCCCAGCCCCTATTTTGTCTTTTGAGACAGGGTCTTGCTGAGTAGTACAGGATGGCCTTGAGCTAACTCACTGTGTAGCCCAGGCTGGCCTTGAGCTTGTGTCAGTCCTCCTGCCTCAGCCTCTCCAGTGCTGGGATTACAGGCATATGCCACACTGCCTGGCTGGGAAGCTATTTCTTCACCATACCAGTGGCAAGTCTGGGAGTGACTTCCAAGCCACTAGGGCACTAGTGGTGCCCCCTGTGCCACCAGGCCCTTCACAGCTCTCAGCCGAGGACGTAGAGACACCCCCTGCCCAGCACAGGGGGGCTGAGCTGAGGTGCACTCCGCTGGGCGGTGGAGAACAGGGGCCTGTGCCTGCCCTCATGCAGAAGGTGCCACCAGGCTTCGAGGAGGACCAGAGAGAAAGCACCCTGTGCCCACCTAGTACGCACTTATAAAACGGGTGGGGTGTAGGATGTATTGGGGCTTTAGTAGGGCAGGGTGGGGGGAGGAAGATGGAGTGAGGGGTCAGGGCATCGCTGAGCAGCAAATCTCAAGTGTGAGAGGGGTCCTGTGTGAGCTCCTCCCCTGTGAGCCAGAGTGACAGGAGCCTAAGGGGGAAACATGGGGGCGGGGGTGGAGAGCGAACAGTGACTAACCTGCTGGTCTGTCAGGGCGCAGGCTCTGACATCTCCGTAATCCTTGGCACGAATAAGCGGATGGATGGAGGGACACCGGGACGGATGGAAAAACGGGTGGACGGGGAGACGACTGGATGGATGAATGAATGGCTGCGTGGGCGGCGAGCCGACTGGAAAGGGGCGGGCCAGCAGACCGTTCAATCACAGCCCAGGGCTAGGTGCCGCCAGCTGCGCTCGCTCAGAGCCCTTCGCCCCAGCCCACCCGGGGCGCGTAATTACGTGCCCCCAGGGCTACGAAGCGCCTCCCTGGACTGAGGAGGACGCCGGCCGTGCCACCGTCTTGGGGTTTCATGCGCCAGTCCTTCAGCGCGCCGGCCAGCCGCCCCTCCGCACGGTCTGGCCCCGAGGCCCCTAGCGCCGCTCTTTGTCTCGGCCTGGTCCGCGGCTGCTTCTGGGCCATGATCCCCCTTCTCCGGGGAGCCCGCGCCGCTCGCTTCTGGGCTGGTCCAGGGTCTCCGAATGTCGGTCCCGCTGCCCACTCCTGCCCACAGCCATCTCCCTGAGCCGAGCAGCGACTCCCCAAACCCTGCGCCTCTAGGACCGCGGGGCAGCCAGCGGCAGGGATCTCCAAGCTGCGCCTCTGGTGCGGGGGAAGGGAGGCGTGGAATGAAAGGACCCTTCTCTGCCTTTTCCATCCCCATGCCTGCCACCCAACCCGTCACTCTGTGCCCGACCCCAGCGCTGCCTGCTGGCGCCCGAAGCAGCTCGCGGGCTGCGGTAGACCCCGACGCCGGGAGGGCCAGCCACCACCCGCCGGCACTCAGCCCCGCACTCAGAACGCAGCGGCCCGCGGCCACAGACCTCTGCTTCTGCCCCGCGCACGACCCCGCGCGGGCGCGCTGGTCCTCCACGCGCAGCCCCCCAGCCCCCGCAACCGCTAACCCACTCGCAAACAAGCCCGCACGGCCACACAACGCCCACTGAACGCTCAGCCCCACGCAGCACGATCCCGTGTACACACACACACACACACACACACACACGATCCCACACAGGCGCAGTCCCACCCACGCAGTCACACTACCCCCTATAAACAATCGCACACAAACACACCACCCCACGCAGGCACCGCGTCACTCAGTCCCGCCGAGACCCAAAAGCACATTCACAAGCTGGTATCCAGACACCCCCACCCCCACCAGCCCCGTGACATTCACACGTAGGGCAAACCAGAAATATATAGCCACACTGATACACGGACCTAAACACACAGCCGAGAGCTCACCCGCGGGCTCGTAAGTCACTTGAAAAATATTAAAGCGCCCTCTCTTCGCCTTCTGTCTTTGACGCGCGCGCGCGCTCTCACGCTCACCACCCCCGCCCCCACCCGTCCCCCAGCGCCTGGAAGCCTGAAGCCGGCGACCCCAAGCCCGGGCGGTGGGAGCCGCGGGAGCGTCCCCCAGGCGCCCCCTCCTCCGCTCCCTCCGCCGGCTCGCCACTCCTTCCCCGCCTCCTCCCTCCCTGCCCCCTCCTCCTCCCCTCCCCCGCGTCTGGGGCGCGGGCTGCGCGCAGCCAAACCCCCTCGCCGCGCGCCCCTCCCCGCGCGCGCCCCGCGCCCGCATCGCGCTCGCGGAGTGGATGCGGCCACCGGGCCGTCTCTAATTACCTCCTGTCCCCCGGCGGCCCGTGAATAATGGCTACTGAGGGCGCTTGCAGGGGCCGCTGAGAAGGAAGCGCGGGGCGCGAGAGGCGCGGCGCGCGCGGGAGCGCGAGGAGAAGGAGCAAGCCCGGGGCCGCCGCGAGCGGCGGGCGGAGAGAAAGGAATCGTGCGAGCGAGCGAGCGAGCGCTTACATTTTTTTTCTCCCAAGGATCTCATCTGGCCGCCGCGTTCTGGAGGAGGCCAGGGGGAGAGCGCGCGCGCGCAAGGAGGACGGAGACGGCGGGGAAAGGGAGACGGCGAGACGCGCAGCGCCGGCGCCCCGGAGACCCAGGAGGAGCCCGCAGGTATTGTTGGCGGCGGAGCTTTGTGTCCTCGGCGGGCCGTTCCCAGCGCGAGGGCTCCCCGAGTCCCCGGGCCGCCGCGGCGCTCAGCCCTGCCCAGAGCCCCGGGCTGTCAGTGGGGGTCACCGCCCGCCGCGGGTACCCCTCCCGCGGCGCCGCGATCTTGGCTGGAGTTGCAGATTTTGCCTGTTTGGGGGTTTTTCACGTCGGTGGAGGGAATTGGTCTCAGAAGAGGAAATTTCTTTGCTTTTTCCTGGCCGCATTTGGTGGTGCGGGGGTCCCCCCTCCCCGTTCCTCCACAATGCTTTGGTGAGTGGTGTTGGCGACCGTGGCGCGGCGGCAGGCTGAGGGCTGCGATGGCGGGGCTGCTGGCCGCGGCCCGGGAGGCGAGGGATGCCGTAGGAAGGAGTTCTGTTCAAGTTCGCCATTTGCGCCTGGAGCTAGTCCGGCTGGGGTGGGCGGTCCGTGCACCCGGTCCCGCTCTGGGCAACCGGTGGGAAACTTCCCGGGAGGGCCGCCTCCCGGCGGACTCGGCGCCCCGACGCCTCCGGGCGCTGCTTCGGGTCGCGGGTGGCCCCTCCTCGCCGCCCTCCGGCGCTTAAGGTCGCGCGCTCCCCACCCCCGCCTTCCTCCCTCCGCCGTCGGTTTCCGGATCTGGACAGAGCCGCTTCAAACACTTCCCCTGGAGACCCCTCCCCACTCCCCGCACGGAGCCGGCCCGGGAGCCCCCCGCCCCGGCCTGGGCCCCTTCTCACGCGCGGCCGAGTGACCAAGCTGACAATGAAATTTCGTGTCTCTGCCTGAAGGGGGAGGGGTCGCAGCTGAGTCTCTCCTGAGGCTGCTGACCCCAGGCCCCGGGCCGGGGGAGGGGTCCTCTTCCAGGGAGGGAACTGTTTGGGTTGGAGACTTTGACGTGGGCTGGCGCCAGGAGGGGGGGTCGCGCGGCGGAAGCGAGGGTCTGGGGTTTGCAGCCAGGGGTCCTAGATTCTAGCCGCTCTTTGGCGTGGCGATTGGCTGATGCCTTCGGGCACGTCGAGGGCCCTGCTCACCTCAGCCTCCTCCCCTCGCGTACACTGCGGGCTAAGAGGTGATCCCGAGGGTGATGTGCTTATGTGACGAAGTGTTTGTCTGCTTCGATCCACAGCAGATGCTGTGGACGCTCTGGTGACCCGGAGATCCGGATGCCAGGCCCCTGGGGGAGGTCAGATAAAGTGGGAGGGGAGTGGTGGGAACCTCTTTTCCCACAGGGACCATGTGAAGGGAGGGCTAGCCCGGAGAATTTCTGGGGACTGCAGTCTTGGGGGGATGGCTCAGTCCTAAAGGGGCTCTGCTGGATGAAGGCTTCCTGGCGCTCAAAGCTCCCAATTCCTTTGCTCCTTTGGGGGTGGCACAGGGGGGGCGGTATGGAAGAGGTGTTGGGCTAGCTGGGGGCGGGCTGGAGAGCCCAAGAAAACCAGCCTTAATTAATTGAATTCCCAGGGAAGCAACCCGGGGACATAAAGGTGCTTCCCCTTTATCTTTGTAGGGAGAGAGCCGGTTCCAAGCTGGCAACCCAGGCAGGTGAAAGCCATTTTTCTCCCTACCCAAAGAGAGGCTTCCCGAGGAGAAGAGAGGCACCTTTGAAGACAGGGGACTGGACTGTTTCCAGACGGTTCTGTCATTGAGTCCAGGAATGGAAACCGTTAACCCTCCCCCAGAAATCTGTCACACACACACACACACACACACACGCACACGCACACGCACACACACGCACACACACACACCGCACAGCAAGGACATGATGTGAAGTCCTCTGACACGCTAACAGCACGACCCCGGCTGAGGGGGTGAGCAGATTGCACACCCTGTAAACCCCCTTTGCAGCAGGACCAGACTTGGCAGGGTGGTGACTAGTTAGGGACCTTGGGGGAGGTGGAAGTCAGAGCCCAGAGCAGGTCACACAGCCAGGTGATAGCCTTGTTGTCCAGGGGGAAGAGAGGTTTCCAGCAGTGGCCATTGGGAACTAGAGGCCATTTGGGTTGGGGTCAAGGAAGAGGGAAGCCTCTTGGCTGGTGAAATGGGTGCTTCTTGCGCTAACCTTGGCCCTGCCCGCACCGCCCCCCCAGCAGAAGGTCTGACCTGGAGGCCAACGCAGGTTGGACTGTTAGACCCTGGCAGCTGTGGGTGGCCTGGGTGAGGGCACCTACCTGGAGGCAGGGCCAGAGCTGGCAGGACCTATGGCGTCTCATTCCTTGGCCCTATGGCACATCCCCCTTGGTGTAGAGTTAGTTGTAGGGCTGTGTTCCCTGTCTCTGCCTGTGACTTCCATTTCTTTTGAGTGAACACTGGTCCCTGAAAATTCCCGGGCACATTGCAGAAACTCAATGTCCTGTTTGGCTGGACAAACACAGGAGGGAATGGATCAGTGATGAGTGAGTGAATGAATGAATGAATCAGTGAATGAAAAGAGAAAGTTTCTCAATTGGAGGCAGCTAGTCATTGTTTTAAAGCCTTTTCAGTATGTACATTTTCAAGTATGGTTCACAGAAAACCTGAAAAATAGCAAAAAACAAACAAAAAAGGTTATTGACAGTCTTCACGGCTCCGACAATGCTAGCATTTTGATGGAGTTCTTCCCAGGCCTGTGCGACTTAGTGGTTGGTCGGTTTTTTAAAGGCTTTGTCGTCATTCCCTATATTCAGATGTATATCCTGCTTTTTTTCTTTCTTTCTTTTTTTTTTTTTTTTTTTGCTGGTGACAGCGCCAGCCTTTTCCTGTTTTGTAACCAGTGCTTCATAAACATGGCAGTTAATGTCTCCAGGCTTTTCCAGTCAAGTGGATGTACCATAATTTACTTAATATTCCCCTTTTGTTCAATGTTCTGCATGTTCCTGAGGAGTGATGTAGTAGATGTGTTTTGTTCAGAGAGCTTTTTCTGATTTTAAGACGATTTCCTCAAAATGACGCTGCTGGTGCCGGAGGCTCTGACATGCCTGCAGTGGAAGGAAAGGGCTCCTGTAGTTCTCCCTGGATAAGTGGGACACTGTTCTGCTTCCTTCCTCACAATCTGGAAACTTCCACCAGAGCCGGAAAGCCTTGGTGATGAATCACTTGTCTGACCTCCCTTCTTTGACAGAGGAGAACACCAGGGCCCAGAGAGGGGAAGTGAGCCCCAAGGTCACACAGCAGTTGCTGGACTATGCTGTAGCCACAGGCCAGTTGCTGATCTGCCGTTTTGGTTTTCACCTCTGAGAAAGGACCCTGGAGATACTCTGGGCCAAACGTGTCCATTTCACAGATGGAGGAACCAAGACCTCAAATGAGAAGCGTTGCTCCTGCCCCAAGTGTCCCCCGCTGGAGCATCAGAGGTCGGCTCCTAGGCCCATGTGTGCGGTGCGCCCTGCCCTATTCCTGGGTCCAGGCAACAGCGCCAGCCCTGGTTGGCCAGCTGTGAACTCCCTGTTGGGCCTCGCTCTTTCTTCTTTGCCATCCCATTTTCCAGAAGGAAAAGCAGAGGATCCAAAGCAGGTACAGGAGAAGGGTACGATGCAGATCTCAAGGGACCCTGGCTGTGGCTGTGGCCGTCCTGTGCTGTTTCCTTGTCCAGAGGCTGAGCTTGGCATCTGCTCAGGAGCCAGAGCCTGGGGTTGGAACAGGTCAGACGGAGAGCGCAGGGGGATGGGCGAGGGCAGGAAACATCTTAAATTCTCCCTCTGGCCTTCAGCTGACCCTGAAGCTCCTTGTGGAGGAGGGGACAGGCAAGGGAGGAGGAGGAGTCTGGGTGCAGAGATGGTGGAAGCAGGGTTGGAACTGTGGGAAGGGAGCTTGAAAGGAAGAAAATGGAAGCAGGAGAAGGTAGGAAAAGAGAAGAAAGGACTTGGGTCAAAGGCAGAAAGAGGAAGACCCTCCTCCCGGCAGGCATCACCAGACACCCAGGAGAGGCCAAGGGACGTTCCCTCTGTTGGAGATGGCAGAGCTGGGCCAGAGAAGGGGGGTGTCTAGGTGTCAGAAGGGCCCAGACTGAGTAGATGTCATTCAGGACTTGGGGCAGTGGCTGCCTTGTTCACTGAGCACATATGGGGCAGGGAGGAGGGCACCCCCGGTTCAGGGGCTTAGGGGTGCCTGTGGGGGGCACGGCGACTGTGGCTCTGACTGCTCACCCAAGCGCAGCCTTTTTCCCCTCCCCTGCAAGCGCGCCGCCCCTGGAGGTTAGGAGGAGCCCTGCTGTGGGTGTTTGGATTTTTCTATGGCGTATGTCTGTGGGCGAGTGCTTATCCATGTGTGCGTGCATGTGTCGTGTCGTGGGTTTGCTCATCTCTGGGTGTCCCTGTGTGGGGGGTGTTTCTGCATGCCTCTGGGCCTGTCTGTGTATTTCTTTGAAGGGGTGTGCCTCCTGGCTTAGGCACATGCATCCATGCATGGCTCTGTGTGCGTGTGTGTGTGTGTGTGTGTGTGTGTGTGAGAGAGAGAGAGAGAGAGAGAGAGGGAGAGAGAGAGAGAGAGAACTGGGCGAATCTGTGCGTCCCTGTGTGTGCCCTGTGTATGAGTGCAAGCCTGTGTCTGTGAACCTCTGATCCCATGTGTGCAATTCGGGCTCTGGCACATGTGTGTGTGTTGGTATGAGCACACACTTTCCTCCTAGTGGCCCCAGGAGGGATCAGGCATCAGGCTTTTGTGCTCTTCTCAAGGTTGCCGCTGGGGGGGGGGGG